AAAGGGAACTAGTATTTGGAAGAATTGCGATGAAAGGGAATTAGTATTTGGAAGAGTTGGGATGAAAGGGTTGGAAGAGATGGAAACCGCATGGGAACTTTTGGAAAACAAGATGGAGGCCAGAGGGTGGGCTTGATTAATAGGGGGAGGGCTACTATTAGGGGGTGGTAGGGCCTGTGTGAGGGGAACCCTTTGTGAGCTTGAAAACCTTAAGATTTTGATAGAGTTTTAATAAGGGAACATGAAAGAATTTTGCTAGAGCGTTTTTGGGGTTTTGGGGGATGGTTGGCTGCACAGATTGCAGCTGGGAAGGATGAGAAGAGCAAGCAGACTGATCAGAAATAGTTGATGAATGAGAGGGTCAGCATGGGAAAAGGGTGGATAAGTTATAACTCAAAAACATTTGAATACTAAAAAGAAAAGCTAAACAAATAGAAAACAAGTTATATCTTTGTTTGGGGGAGCTGGGCTTGATTAATAGGGGGGAGGAAGTCAATATTAGAGGGAGGTTTGCAGAGTTCAAATTAGTTTAGTATTGGAGGCTTCAGCTGCGCTTGATTAAAAGGGGGGGTTGGTTAATCCCATGTGCGTATTAAACTCAAAACGCAAAAACACGTTGGATGGAGTTCAGCTGCCACTGCGAACGTCCACACCATATCAACGGAGAAGCACCACTCTTTCGTGTACAAGTGGCCCGCGCTTGCAGTCACATTGCGCGACTCTGGTCATTCCTCTTGGGACCCATGCGCACATACTCCCACTCCACTGTCCCCCTCTTGCCACGCCTGATTTATCCCCCCTTTAAGCTCTATTCTCTTCTCCTCTACTCTCCGTTTCTCCCCTCTCCTCTCTTTTCCTGACTCCGCTCTCCACTCTTCTCTCTTCTGTCCTCCACTCTCGTCCCTTCTCTTCTCTTCTTCTCCTTTCCTTTTTTCTTCCCCCCTCTTCTCCTATCCGCCTTGCCTCGCCTCTCCTCGCCTCCTCCCTTCCCTTTTCCTCTCCTCCCCTCCCTTCTCTTCTCCTCCTCTTCTCCTCACCTCTTCTCCTCTCGCGTCCTCCCCTCTCACCTCCTATCTCATCTCCGCTCGTCCCCTCCCTGATTCTCAATCTTTTAAACACATTCATCGCACAAACAAGTTGGGTAAAACAAGACAAGGTGCGCATTGCAGCAAAAAAAGGGTCATCGGAGGTCCTGAGAGTCATCACCTCCCCCGACCTCCAATACTCTCCGAACTCCCGTTCAGGCTTGCGGTCTATGCTTACGCACAAGAAGCACGATGGAGTCAGCAACCGTTTGGCAATGGTCAAGTTCAATCTCTGCTGAGGCATCAAGCCAGTCTCGTCAATTGGCAACAGGCCTGGACAACAAGAAAATTCCACGCTTTTCCGCTGCGAAGGCTTCGGAGCAATGCCCTACAGTGAGCAAACAAGCACAAGAAAAATCCCCAACAACTCGAAACTTATTGTGCGCTCTTCGGGGCGCCAGCTAATTGTCTTCGATAAGGTCGATGTCTCTTTTGAAGGAGTTAAGTTGCCGTCAGAAACTTAGCTGCGCCATTATAGATGTCACGTAGACAACAGCACTTGTAGGAAGCAGTCAACCGTATCTTTTGTGAGCACTCAATGGTCCTCTTCTTAGACCATCTTTCAACCTTTTCGTTCACTATCGAGGGACTGCAAGAGTTACATCCATGGGGGAAAAACAAATGCCTGACTGTATTTAACTACGCAGAAAACTATGCAATGGAAGAGCCACCGACCGCATGCAGTTTGCAGCTGACTAGCCATGGGTTTACCCACCCGCTCACTAACGAAGTAAAGCAATACTGTCTCGCCGTGTGCCACATCACTACTTCATCCTGTCCACAGGCAACTCCATAGAACAATTCAAAAAAGTAATGTAAGTCCGACTAACCTGCGCACAGACCAGCCTTTTCTTGGATCCAGATCCACCTTCCAAGATTGAATCCATGCCAGAAGAGGCGAAACAACGCCCAGAAGCTGCTGTTGGGATGATAGGCTCGGCTGTTCATGGACGTCCGGGAATGCGACAGCTGATGATTGCGAGGCTGCTTTTCCTTGCATGTGTTCAACTTCCTGACCCACCCGCGCAACCGCTTCTCGCCTTCCTTCCTCTGGAACCTCTGCTCCGAAACCTGCTCCGGAACCTCCTCCGAAACCTGCTCCAGAGCTTGCTCCGATCTGCTCCAAAGTCTATACTATACTATTGCTGAAGATCCCTATACAGCCCCGCTGTTCAGGAAACACAGCGTTGGCTGACTTCTTCAAATGATGTCCATCAAATGTCTGGGGCCTCTATAGGCTAGATGTCACTGTACCTTCACCGATGAAATAACAATCAATTTTCAAGAACAACTTTTGCAAAAAACGCTGCCTGGGTGCAAGAAGGAGTCTATCGTCAGTGCAGATCGCGAGGGCAAACGTGGCACAGAGACAACTCCGCAACAGCCTTTTCCGAATGATTAAGGCCGGCGACATAGATTCTGGGCCGATTCTCCCGCACGTAGTCTGCTGAATTCAAAAAGCGCACACAGATCTGCCACATCCGGGCACCAGCTTCCACGTCATCGATCCAGCTCTCAAGCGGCGAAGAAGCACCGCCTCTTGGCGTGTGACCTAAAAAACATATCATGGGCCCGACAACTTTCAGTTGCCCCAAACCATTTAGATTCCTCTTTACATTGCGCCGGGAATTCTCCTTGAACCCCCTTCCAGCGCTCCCCAAAACAGCTGCGCAGAGATTTGAAGCCAGCAGGCCCCACCCCATGACCTGCTCCAGCACAAAAAGAGAGCTCGTCGATGCCCTTGGTCGATGATAGGTTTCGTGACCTGGAAGGAGGAAATCTTCTGTTTGGCACAAAAATGAATGTCGGATGATGTCGGATGCGTTGCTTCGACTCACGCAACAAAACGTGAGAAAGAACTGTCTTCTTATTCGCCCGAAAACCTGAGCAGCAGCTAGACCTTAGAAGGCAGCACCTTTAGCATGTCTCCCAATCAGGTCTGGCCAGAAGGAACATCATAGCATGGAGGCTCATGTCCAAACACCACGGTCCACCGCCTATGATGCCCTTCATCCCAATCGGCCACGCCAACCTCTCCACGCCTCTGCTGCAGAGAATACACATCAGTCGGGCTGCAGAGAAAGCGGGCGTGGGGGTCTGAGACCACGCCGTCAACATCAGGCAGGGTAGTCACATCGAGCTGCAGCAGATCCTGGGCCAATTGCACGAACAGTCGGCTGAACGTCCTCAACTGCAGTCACCTCTTTCCGAATACATTTTCAGGGCTTGACTCGGGTGGCTTTTGACTAAGAATCTGCAACCATGGCCCTGTGAACAGCACTGTGCCATGATGGCCTTGTCCATACAAGCTCTGCAGAGCCGGGGCCAGGAAGACAGCATTGTCCACATACGGATCAGCCACAAAGGGAATCTGCTGCTGATCCAGAAAATGCTCCGGCGCACCCAAGCCACCGCAAAGAAGCTGCAGTCGCAACAGATGCAGCAAGCATGGCAGTTCGCCGAAGGCGCCGGCCCAATCCGGCGATGGGAGCTCTTCAGGTGAAGGGTCCATCGTTTAGAGTCTAGAGCAAGAAGTGAGTGTCATTGAACATCTTAAGTTCACCTATCCTGTTACGCAGCATCAAATGATGCAGTGCAGGGCGGAGCTATGCACTTTGTCTTCAGTTTATCTCTTCTGCTAACCAACCAACGCAGGCTTGACTTGATTACAACTGCGTCACCACTCGATGAGTGAAACATGCACAGCCATTATGGAAAAATAATGTTGAATAAAGTTGTACTTTGGTGAAATCTACTACTCTCCAATCAGCCCCATTAAGCATCCACCCCTTTAGCTCTTCTATGATACATCCTTTCTCTTGGCAGTGCTTGTGGCTACTACTGGTTCTTGCTTATCACAGCAAGCGGCGGCGGTTGTTCCTTGAGCCTCCTCTGGAAATTCTCCATCACAGCAAGTGCGCGCAAATCCCTCAGCCGCTTCTGTTGGGCACTGCCACTGTATGTGAACAAGTCGTATCTTGTCCAAGTATGTCCAAGTCCAAGTTCAAGACGGCGCCGACACCAGGGCTGGTGCAGGTTGATCACGGAGCGACTGACCTCCTCAATGATCTCTAGGCACTCGTGTACATGGTCCTGCGAGATTGGACGAAAGCGCTGACTCGCTGATGACGTATTCAAAGAGCCTGAGAGCACTCGTGTTCAGAATCTAAGTCACACAGAAGTAATGATAACTTGAATGTTGACTGCAAAAAACAAGCAAAGCAGCAGTGAGCTTCCAAGGGTTACACAGAATAAAGGACAGCTTCCGATCGTACATCTTTTCTTTCTGCAGTGCTTGCGGCTACTGCTGAATCTTGCCTAACTCACTTCTTTCTGCACAGCATGCAGCTTGTACTGTAGCTACTACTGCTTCTTGCCTACATCCTTGTTTTTGGCAGTGCTTGTGGCTACTAGCGATTCTTGCTTATACCTTGTCTCTCTGCAGTTCTTGTGGCTGCCAAAATTCTTTCTGCAGGGCTTGTGGCTACTACTGATTCTTGCTTACACCTTTTCTTTGTTGCATTTCTTGTGGCTACTACTGAATCTTGCGTACACCGCCGTATATATTTTCTTTCTGAAGTGCTTGTGGCTGCTCGTGATTCTTGCGTATATCTTTTCTTTCTGCAGTGCTTGTGGCTACTAGTGATTCTTCTTGCGCATGTTATATTTTCTTTCTGCAGTGCTTGTGGCTACTAGTGTTTCTTTCTGCAGTGCTTGCTACTGATTCTTGCGTATATCTTTTCTTTGTGCAGTGCTTGTGGACTACTGATTCTTGCGTATATGACCTTAGTGGAATCTCTATGAAAATGGTTCCTGAGGGTCAAAGCCTCCTTCCCACGTACCACTGTTGGCGCCCTTGTATCGCGGGCCCCGGGTGCCCACCCCTCCTGTGCCGATCCCAGGCACTCGGCCCGTTCACTTGGCCAAGTCGTTGGCGGCAACGAGTAGACGCTGAGAGAGGCAGTTGTAGAAGCTGTAGATCCAAACCTGGCAAACAAACATGGAACACTGGAAGAGTGCCGAACACCGAACCAATGCATGTTGAATCTTGGAAAATGTGACGTCCTCTGTGGAAGCCCTGTTTTTCCAAGCGTGTGTGTGCCACGCATACAGCTGCGTTGACTGTACTTGTGAAGCCTGACTGCGGTAGGAAATGATTGCGCCTAGAGCTTAGTCGACTTGCTACGTCGTTCAATTTCGAATGCGAAAGAGACAGAGAGAGAGAGAGAGAGAGAGAAAGAGAGAGAGAGAGATCCGGTTATCTTTGCTTTATGGGCCTTTGCTTTTATCTTTGTTCCTTTTATAATCCTTGTTACTGTATCTTTGTTTTGGCACAGTTTCGATGTGCCCCCACCAAAAAGGATCAAACACACACACCATTTCCAGACACCAGTTCTGGTCAAAGGCCCGGACCACTCCCAGCACGAGACGCAGAAAGGCCAAGTCATCGCCTGGCAGGCGACCGGTCGACTGGACCGCACAGGCTCAGCATCTGCAGATCAGATCTTGGGATGGATCTGCAGATCTGCAAAGCATACATTGGAACCAAGATTTTGGGTCCTTGCTTTTCATCAACATTCATCAACAATCCCTATATATCTCCTAACTAAAAACACAGAACAAGTACAGTTTGATGGGCGACTCACATGTGACGAGTACGCCCAGTTCGCGAGACTTCGCGAGGGTGGAAATCCACACTGGGCTCCCTTGGGCGGACCATATCTAACAATTGTGAGAATTGTGTCTTGTTCTGTCTGCAGTGAGACAAGAAAGCCAGGCAATGATTCGACTTCTTGGGGTTGAAGCTGCGCGGAGGATTCCAGCCTGGAAGGATTCCAGCTTCAACCCATTAATTACAGCTTTCCAGCCTGCAGTCATAGCCCACAGAAGTCAGAAAGGACATAACCAAGCCTGAACCCAACATAACCCAAACCCTTCATGAAACCTCTCAACTAGTCAATGCTTCTGGAGACCCGAAGTGTTTATCGAAGCGGAGGGATCTCCGAGCCGAGGGATCTCACCTCGATGGGCTGTCGCCCGCCAGGCCATCTCCGTCTGCAGTGGCAACCGCTCTGCTGCTCCGCTGGCCAGCAGAAAGAGCTGCTGATCGGTGAACACCTCAGCAACTGGCGGATTTTTTGGGCGATCTGAGGGTGCAATCCACCTGATTCTGGTCAGGCCGTCTTGAACTAGAACACATCTTGAGTTCATGAGGATCTCAAGCAACAATGGTTGTTGGCGTAACTGCTCTACATCAGAACATCTCGTGCAGTTATGCTTAAGCCCGTCCCCCCGTCGCCTTCAGGCCCTGGACATTCGCATCTTGGAGCTTGGGGCCTGAGCGTTGGCGCTGGGTAAGAACGAGTCTTTAAAGGGACAAACTAGAACAACGCAACACCAAGGCCTAAGGGGGCTGCAACGCATTTTATGGATTTTTATGATTTTTTTGTAGCTCTTCCTCTAAAGAAACGCTTAACTTTCTTTTCACGTCTTTGTATGTCACCTTCTGGTTGCGCGAATTTGATCGGGCCTGCGAATGTCTTGAAGGAACAAATACCCTTGACCCCTGCTTCTTAATTTGTCCTGCTGATAAGGGTGAACATGATGCCTCTCGTCTGCGGTCTTGCAAGCAATCTCCAGGTTCTGATGGCGTTCTGGTGGGAATGTGAAGCTCAAATACCATTCCTCTCCCAATGCTCACAACCTGTGGAAACCTCAAACTCCGCTGAGGTCTCTCCATCAAAAAGATCTCCGATTCCTCCTCTGCCTGCCCTCCATTCCCGCTCCCAGCGGCACTCCACCTGCAACGTTTGCAGGGCCCAAAGCACATTGGGCAGCTCCTCCACGCGATTCGACTCCTTCAGGTCCTGGAGGGCCACCTGCACCAGCCTGAGAAGAGACTGCCGCGCGGACCGGAAGTCCGGAGATCCGAAACGGGGTGGGATGAACCGGTGGTTTCTCTCGTGTTTTACGAGACATAGGAATAGTAAAATATGGATCAAAATAGTTCAAGTATAAAATAATAAGGATATAGGAATAGTACAAAAACAATCAATATATCGTAATCTATAAAGTATGAGAAACAGCACTCAGTATTCAAGCACATGCCTTTTTCCAAATAGAATCTCTCTGGTGTGGAAGAAACTTTGTTGACTTCCATTTCACACTCTATGACCCACGGGACTCACCCACTTTGTGAACTCACGGCGGTGTTTTCATGTGTTTTCATATGTTTTCATGGTAACTCTACTTTCAGACTCTTTCGTATCACTCAAATAACTCCTGTTCACTCCCTGGTTGGATGTGTGTATTAGTTGCCATTTCCACCACCATGTGTTTTCGATTCAGAGCCAACGTACGAGCCGCTGATCCCCTGTGATCCCCTCACCGAGACTTCATAACCGCCGCAGCAACCGTGTGGGGCGTCCTCTGCCGGAATGACTTGGATCGGCACCACAAAGACCCGGTGTCCATTGGTCGGAATGCCCAGAGCAAGTGCTCGTTTCTTGGGAAGTCGCGGCCACCTTTTTGGAAGACATCTATATAGACATGGAGTCTTCAGGGGCACACGCGGTATATGCTCAGCTTGGTGTGTAACAATGACAAGGGTCAAGCAACATGAACATGGTGCATCATGGTGCCATCCACCAGCCATCCACCACACTTCCAACGGCTAAAAGGGCTGACTGTGCTCGACTGTGCTCAGAGGCTGTGGATCACGTACGGCTAGGGTGGCCAAGCCCCAAAGGAAGCTCGACGCCGTTGCCTGAAGAGAATACCAGCCGCCGGTGGGCCGATGAACAAATCCTCTTGGAGCAGTCCACAGCATGTCCCGCTGCATCTGCCGAATTCGGAGGAAGAGGTCATGAATCATGTATGACATGACATGTGTTTCTTTTTCCGGGTCATGAATCATAAAGCTTTCTTTCCATGAGCCGGACTCAACTCCGAAGGGCCACTTCGGCCCTGCTTCGCGCGGCCAGCGTTCGGTTTTGGAAGGGAGGACAGCTCACCAGGGTTTTGCAAACACACCCACACCAAATGAGGCGAATCACTGAAATAAACAATCAAATGATAGATGCTGATAGAGAGGACTAGATTAGATTGATCTATCGACAGAAAGGGAAAGAATGAATCAATATGAATAGTCCGTCCGTATGTACTGTATATAGATAATGACGAGTAGATCGCTTGCATTGGTCTCATTCAGATTTGGCGCATCTCCACATGCTCTTGCTTACAGATCCTCACCGACGTTCCACTTACCCATGTCCAACCATTACTTCCAGCACATCTTGTTTCCACTTTTCCCATTGCTCCACCGTACCATCTGTCACCTGTCGGTGAATCTCCGGATACACGAACAACCGTCCCACTGTTGATGTCACAAGTTCCCCCTCAGAAAAAGCATTCCAGAAAAGTACGGATTTCTCCCGTCGTTTCACTCCCATCGTTCCATCACAAAGGCACGTTACAATGTGTTCCCTCCGCATCTCCCAAAGTAGCTCGACCCCTTTCAGCTGCTGGTCGTCACGCTCACAGGCCAGCACGGCTGACGTATAGACCTCGGACATTGTCCGACCGTGTGTCGAGTGCTGTTGTTTGTGGAGAGCACATGAGAGCACGATTTACCGCTGTAGTCGGATATGGGCAATACATTCATGATGATGATGATGATGATGATGATGATGATGATGATGATGGATTCATATGGCATGCCCCGTCTTCGCCTTACGGGGCCAGGCCCCCCCTGCTCAGACCTCGTGGAGAATCACTGTGGATCCACATTCTTCGGAGCGCCCGAACCACGGGAAGCGCCCAAGGCGCAATGGAATTGGCCTTCACTGCGGTGTCTCTCATCTCCTTCAGCAACTCCAAAGCCCAGTCCTTGGGACGAACGGGGTGGTTTCCCAAAACGGAAAGGTTCTAGGATCTCTACCTTCTAGCATGGGGGGGGTATTAAAAAAGAGTGGGCACGCATGATTTTGGTTCGTAGGTGTATTTTTCAACGATCTAGTTTGACTCCTTGACTCCATGCCCGGAGGAAGCAAGGAAAACATCGGTTACTTCGTGCCATCAAGCCGTTGGTGATTTGTTGCTACTCCTCTACTTGAGGATGGCAGTTCATAAAGAGTATATATAAATGTATAAACCATGTAAACAACAAAACTCCTATAATAGAACATATGTTTTGGAATATCTTGGAACCTTTGGAAGTTTAAAAAAACAACTGTTGAACCACTTTGCAGCGAAGAACATCCTTAGAATAATACCTCTAACACAGGCCTGTAATAAAGGTATGCTGTCCAAGTCTCCCAAGGTGCACGGTCCATCGCGATGCCGAAACTGATCACGTCTGGGCGCAGGTCGCGCATCTGCATCTCCTGACGCCGGTGGAGAGCGGAACACCAAATGAGACAGGCTGCTGCTGAACGAGCGGAAACCAGTTGGTTCTAAGGACACTGAGGACACTCTGGGACACTGGTTCTTGGCTTGAACCATAACCAGTTTCTTCCTTCTTCCACCTGTGCACATACACCCAAACTTTCGGTCCGTTTTCAAACACATCTGCTTAGCCACGGAGCTGCCACACGATGTCTTGGCTCAAGATTTCTGGGATGGAAGGGCTCTTCAGCTGTTCCTGTAAATACGTCACTCCATCTCATTCTCAGCTTTGTTATGCGCTTCCCTCCTGTGTATTCATACTGGTCATGACCAAAGAATTTCTTCACCTCGCTGTGGGGCTGAAAGTTCCACCAATTTCCCTCGCTCTCGGTCTACACAGACCCAGAAACGACGGCATATCCAATGTATTCCGGACCAAGAAACGTCCGCCTCTTCTCCCCGCATCGTTTCCCTCGCTCTCCTGCAGAAGCCCAAGCACGTCTCTCCAGCCTGGGACGTTCTCCGTGCGGAACGTCGGAGGTCAAAGCCGGCGGAATGTCCAACAACACCGTCATACACCCTGTGCCTGTGCGGTGAAAGGAGGAGTCGATGAAAGGCATCAACGGTTCCTTTTTGTCCCAGGTTTTCATGGAGGTGTTTGACAAGCAAAGCCTGGACAAGATTCTGTTTTTTTCACGGTTTTTCAATGTTTTTCATGTTTCACCACGGGGTAGGTGGTCAATCACACATGCTGCCCGTCCGCGTGTTTCGTTTCGGAAAACCACATCCACCAAAACTCCCATGCAAAGAGAGAGAGAGAGAGAGAGAGAACTTTTGTTGACAGCAGAGTGCCGAGCGAACATCATCGAAGCTTTGGCCCGCCGCGTTCGGCGCGGGGTCCGAGGTACTGGGCCAAACACTCATGACGCTGTTGAGCGTCACCTCGTCCGGGACAAGGGACGAGGACGACTGGAGCTCCTGGGCCGGTGACGACTGCGTTGAGCTGACCAACCATAACCAAGCAAAACCATCGCACGGGCCAATTGCACCTCGTATACGAAGTAATCAGCACGAAAGCTTAGGGGAACACAACTTGATCAATGTCCACCTCGGTTGATTAGTGGTTGTCCTGACTTGGGCTCTTGCGACCCAAAGGACTAAGCGGCTATGGTTTCCCACTGAACCATGCGAACTAGTAACCAGTAGAAAAAGGTCTACGGATGCGTAGCCGAACCGCAGTCCTCGAAGAAGTAGAGCGCCAAGGGCCATTGGCTTTCGCAACTTGAAATGAGCCTTGACTGAGCTTTGCTCGCTTGGTCTGCCAAGTCTCCAAAAAAGGATCCCCGCATCAATTCATTTGGCAATGGCTAGCTGTAAAGGACCTAGATGGACCAGGGATCTGCAGGTTTTGGCTCGACTGTCTCCACACAGGATCCCATGTACTTCAAACAAACACATCATGATTGCAGGTTGGAGTGCAGAGTTTTGTGCATGTGCACTATTTCTTCGGACACTTGGGGACTGACACCCTTTCATGCGCCTTAAAGGTTTTGACATATAAAACTTATCCGCAGAATAAGCCACTATAGAGCTTCGGCAGGAGCTTTGTCTTCTAAAGACTTGCGGAGGTCCAGCAAGCTACATCTCAGATTCATTGGCTTGTTCCTTGTTCCTGGAGTCATGTTCCATCATCCAAACGTGACGCCCCTGCTGCCCCCCTCATGCCAAGATTCGCATTGTAGGTGATCAAATCTGGCTCCAAATGCGCTTGGGGCAATCTCTCCCAGAGCTCCAAGGCCTGTTGCCACATGCCAGCCTTCTCACAGGCGCTGATGGCAGCATTGAAACTTACCTGGGACGAAAAAGAAGAGCAGGATCATTATGATGCTACTCATGTGGAGTAGCTCAACCGGTCTCCAAGCCCCTTTGAACCCTCCTGGTAGAATAGGATGGAACAGCTATTGGAGTGTGACATGGGACTCGATCGGTACGGTTCTTCAGGAGTACCTTGTAGTACCCTCTCCATCCAAAAAAACATGAAGAACCGTGGAACATGGCCCCGTTTTAGGAAGACTGTTTTCCTCTAACAGGCCCGTTTTCCATCGTATTCCACTTCCATTCTTGTCGGAAGGAGGGTAAGATTCTTGAACAACCATATATGACACATCAGTTCACGCAGCGGTGTAAGCCAAGTTCGCAAAAAAAACTCGCGTGCAACACCTCTCTATCGGATCGCCTGGGTGCTTCACCTTCCTTTGGGCTTGGACGCTACGAACAGGGCGCTCCTGGCATCGTTACTAGTAGCAAAGGGCATGGCTACTAGGCAAGGACGCTACGATTGACTCGACTCCTTGACCGGCCTCCGGGTGCGTCCGTGCATTCCCCCTGAGCTCCAGCGCCCGTGGTGTCTGACAGGCTTAATAATATAAACAACAAGAAACAACACATCTGGTTTAAAAAAGAAAAAACACAAACAACATATTGGGTGCCATCAGGGGACCGGTATGTGGATATACCCTGGAATAATTAGAAATTATTCTGCTATACCCTCCACATGTTTGGAGAATATTATTCCTGCTGTAAAGTGCTCACTGGAATAGTTAATCAATAATACATCAAAATTGTACAAAAAACTGCCACAAAGCATTTGCGCCAACTGCAGAAATCAGCAAGAATCGCATCTTTTCCCATCTTGTCCAGCATTGAGTCTATGTCTGAGCCGTAAGAAGATTCGTAGACACTGCCACATCTGACATGAGAAACGGAAAAAAAAAGAATGCTGGCGTCTAGGCATGAAGATTTACTAGATCGAGAAAAATATAAATCTTCAAGAAAACCTCACGGTGGAAATCTACATTTCTGTCAATTTGCAACACTCTAGGCACCAACATGGACATAAAACATCATAAAAAGAATTCAGGAAAGTGATTGTTTCCAGGTATAGAGATTCACCAGCTCAACAAAAATATGATACATCCAAGAAACCCTCAGTGTAGAAAATCTACATTTCTGTCAATTTGCAACACTCTAGGCACCAACATGGACATAAAACGAATTCAGGAAAGTGATTGTTTCCAGGTATAGAGATTCATCAGCTCAACAAAAATATGATACATCCAGGAAAACCTCAGTGTAGAAAATCTACATTTCTGTCAAGTTGCAACACTCTAGGCACCAACATGGACATAAAACGAATCCAGGAAAGTGAGTGTGTACAGACGTTGACGTTGGCAGACCAAGAAAACCCATAAAGTCTATCAGACAACTGAATTGAAAAGATCCTCAAGAGCTGTCAAAGAGATGAACGGGGACCGACAACAAGAACCGAAAACGCACAGCATTTGGGCAGAGTCTACAGTTGCGGCTGCAGAAGGCCTCTATGTACCCCAACATTCCTAATTCCTGCGGATGTCCAGAAATCATGACCAAGGAATTCGTTGAACAACAAATCATAGAAATCATAATAAAGTGTTCAACACTTTGCCGAATATTCTCAAAGCATCCTTGGAACCCCGCAACAACTCAACATGCACGATTACATGAGACACATTCGGCTTCCTCAAGATTTTGTATCTTGTTGCTCAGGATTCCGCACGTGCGAGCTCAAGAGTCCTCTTCCGCATTCCACGCAGTCAACGGGGCCTCACTGTGCAAAAAGACTTTGATGAGCCATCTTTTGAAAGCAAGAGGATCTTGCCCAGGCTGTGGAGATGCAAATCGGAGTTCTTGAAGTACCAGGTCGCCATACCTACAGTGAAGAAATCAGCAGCACAGTGCAGAAATCATAGCATACTAATCTCTAATAATTTATTCTGAGGGTATCTTGCATCTGAGTATCTAATAGAATAGTTTTGGGAATTGTATGACACTTGAAACAGTGGTACGTTCAGAAATTATTCTATTGGTATATGTGTTCTCAAAGGGATGCTGAATATTTATGCAGCAAAGCTAATGAAAAACAAAGAAAAAACTCTAAAATTATTCTGGTAGTGTACAGGTTGTTAAAGTCTGTTGGAATAATTGTTGATTTGTCTATATTCATTTTATTTTTGTGTAAACAAAGTATTCTGTGGGTATGCATGCTGTCAAGTAGTGGTGGAATAATAAGCTCCACCAGAACATAAAAGAAAATGAAAAAACACCTGCCAAAAACTTCATGAAACTTTACTTGTACAAAGCAAGAGACGGAAGTTTCTGCTGCTCTGCGTTCATGGTTTTCCAATGGGCAGAGCCACGAATGTACTTCTTGAAGTACGAAGGAATCCGGGAGAGCATCTCATCCCATGTCACCTGGATATCCTTTCGAAGCTTGAGTTCGCCATTGGGCTTCACAAATTCGAAAAAGTGTGTCACGTAATCTCTGCGCATCTGGTTCATGTATCTCCTCATGTTCTTGTATCCTGCGGGGCCCTTGGAGAATTCAGATGCGGTGTAGAACGTCTTGTGCAAGTCATCCTGGTGGAAACCAAGGGCTTAAATACAAATGCTTTCCAGAATGTACTGTCAAACAATGTAATGTACAACATCTAGCAACATAAAAACCTAAAAAAAACCTTCAACAAAAAATCATAAAAAGTTATGAAAAATCTAGAAAAGTTTGTTGATGTTTGTTGCTCCTGCTTGCTCTTCTTGTCATGGAAGGCAACCGAAGACTTCGACACCTTTTTGATTGCCCTAATGGCTGCTTTTGCGACCCACACTTTCAATGCGTTCTCGTGGTACTCATACTTGATGCATACCCCAGGAACCTCCATCACTAAAGACTCATCAGAAGGGTCCAGAGAGAACACAGGTGAAAGATTCGTGGCTGTGCAAAGCTCCCACCCATCCGCATCCTGCTCGTTCTCGGGCTTGAGCATCCTGGCATGGAAGCGTGTGCAGGCATATGAAGGCAATGATCCCTCAGTCCAGGGATATTGCTTGCTTCGCTTGCCCTGCTTGCCACCCCGCCAGGCCGCAATCACCACAGCTAGCCTCAAAGGTCCAGCAGTCCCACCTGCCTTCAATGGTCGCACTACCAAAACCTGGCACACCCTTTTCTCATTCAACTGGTAGACATTCGGGGTAATGATCTTCACTTCAACTGCCCCTTCAGCAGCGTGTGCGTCACCCTCCTCCTTCAACTCTTGAATGACTTCTTGAACCCTCTCTGAATACTGAGCCCACAAAGAGTGCCGAGACTGACGCATTGCTGTGCAGTGATACTGCGCTCTTGCTGCTGCCAACTCCTTCTCAAAGATCCACTGATCCCGAGGCTCAGGAAAGTGTCCTGCCACAGAGGCCTTAGACAAGATCTTTCCACCACACATGGTATAGGCGCTGAACATGCGAAGATACGGTGTCATCGTACGGACTCGTTGAAGTGCGTTGCTCTCAGCATCATCTTCTTCAGGCTTGAAATCAATGAGGCCGGATTCTGTCAACACATCATTCAATGTCTTCACACTGGCAGAACTTTTCTTCTTTTTGGAATTTGGCTCGGTTGTGTCAGCCTCATCCTCACTGCCCATATCAGGTACAAAATCTGCGGTTTCCACAAATTCGGTTCTCTCATCAGTCTCCTTTTGAGCCTTTTTCAGCTCTCTGAGCATCACCAGGTCAGATTCGGATGCCTCGATGGCTTGGCAAACAGATTCCTGAATTCCTGGTTCCTCATCTGATTCCTCATCAAGCTCCTGCACCTCATCGTCTTCAAGAACCTCGTCAGCCATGTCATCATCGAACGTGCCATCCCCAGAATCTGGCGAACACAGCAGGGATGACCCTACAGTAGAAAACCATTGATGCAGGTCTTGCTTGATCGAATCAGGAGAGTAGCTCACTGTGGTTGCAGAAACAAAGGTGCAGGCATTCTTGAAAGCGCGCTTGGTGAGCTCTCGGAAAGCGTCCTTGTCATCTTGTGTAATCTTCCTGCAGGAAGATGCCTGCAACGCAGCTTTTCCACGTACAAAACCATACCAAATAAAGGAAACCAGACAAAATATATATATTCCAGGGGTATGCGACAACTAGGGTAGGATTGGATTATTTTATATTTATATTTTGTTTAATCTTGGTCCTTGGATATCGTATCTGCGCAAATAAACAAATAATTATTAATAATTATTCTTGTGGTCTCTGACATGTGAAATGGATGCTGGATATTTTTTTTGGTCATGATTGCCAATGTTCAGCCATTTCTATTTGTTCTGATGCTATTTATTTCCATAGTCTATGACAAGTGAAGAAGGTTCAGAATATTTTCAACTGCAAGGTCCAAATCCCTCCGTATACTACCCAACCCCACAAAAATGAAAGCCAGCCCACGAATCGCTGAAAAAGAATCATCAACAAAAGATAACAAAAGAATCTTCGCTCTTGCTTGCAATCCCTCCACATGAAAGTTCTCAAGCTCTGGCAATAAACCTCTGTCCAAGCTTGAATATAGATACGACAAAGACCAAATATCTATTGAATACCATTCCTTTTTGGAATGTTGTTGAGTGGTGCCGGTCTGCACCCACTCCACTCACAAAACGTTACACAGCTCACAACATCCTGAAGCTGTAAACAAAAGGGACCCAATGGGATCCATGCACTTGGATTTGCTTGGGGCTGTACCGCTTAAACAGTCCTAGGGTGGCTGCTTCGCAATTCAAATTCAGCCAGCCATGTATTGTACACAGCCCTGCAAAAGGCCCAGGGATATTCAGCTGTGCTACTCAAATCCTTACCTCCAGCCCACACATCTGAGCCATGAGCATTCTTGTATTTCCTATAGTACACCTTTGGTGTCTTGCGATTCTCATTCCTCTTGCGAAATCTCTCCTTGGATTGAATGCAGAAATCAATATCTAGCTCCAGAAATCTCTT